GGGGGGATATTATTCTATTTATCATGTCATGTGAGTTGAGTAATGGGGAGTTTGAAATTTTAAATGGAAATGTAGGAAGAAAATAGATCATTTTCATAGATCTTTATTAAGCTTATACTCTTTGCCAGTTACCTTATCCTATCTTGAGGGAATAAGGCTGTAGTTCCTACTTAAGTGCTCTTCATTGAGAAGGGTATATGACACACATATAAGTAGTGTCCATATACTTAGGACCACAGTAGAAGGTATAGGAAACAAATCACAATAATTTTCTGTGAGTACAGGTTTGAGAAAGTACTCTTCAGGTAAAGGGATCATTCCATGGGCAGTAATAGAATGTAAGAAACTTGGTGCCTTGAAGGACTATAAATATGCTTCTTCTCTTTATAAGTTCATATGTACATCAGTCTTGTTGATTTGGAAGGCCTTGTTTGCTTAGTGTCCTTTATACACTCTGTCTCTGTATCTTCCTCTTCCTTGGGGGTTCCCTAGGGGAGGGATTGATGGACAGATCCTGGTTAGGGCTGAATGTTTCAAATCTCTTGGTCTCTGCATAATGTCTGGCTGTAGGTTTCTGTATTTGTACTTTCATTTGCTAAAGGAGAAAGCATCTCTGATGATGGCTGATCAAGGTACAGGGTATAGCAGAATGTCATTCAAAGTCATTTTGTTGCTATGTTCTTTAAGTAGAACAGTAGTATTTGATTTCTCTCTAGGTCCTTGGGCTATCTAGTCTGAGGTTCTTGGTCACTCAAGCATGCTGGATGTGGGTTCCATCTTGTGGAGAGGCCTTAAGTCAAATCAGATATTGGTTGGTCACTCCCTTAAGCTTTGCCCTACCATTGTCCTACCATCTTGCAGGGTTTGTAAGCTGGGTTGGTGTTTACATTTCTCCTTTAGTAGCATGTGTAGTACCTTCTTGTACCAAAGGTGGTAGCATGTAGGGGTGAAGGCTGTATGTAGGCACCAGCTGGGACTTTTCTACACTTAGTGAAAAGTCTTCGGCATAGGGCCTTGCCATTAGTTTGTAGAGAACAACTTACAGTGTTGGCAACAGCTTGTGTTGTTTGGGGGTTCCCATAGGACCTATTCAGCAAAGAAGCTTCCTGTACTGGAAGCTTCATTTAGTGACAAGAGATGTCCAACTGGGGCTTTGTTTCCTCCATTATTTGGTGATTCATTTAGATTGCCTTTATATATTTGTATATTTTAGGAAGCTTCTACTGTAGTAAGTTTCCATGCTGTCCCTCAAATGGCCCTTCATTTTAACTATCTCTCCTCATATTCCCTCCCTTGTCCATCCTCTTTTTCTTCCCCCACCCCACTTGATCCTCCTGTTCCAGGTCTCCTATCCATCTATAACTATTCTATTTCCTTCTCCTAGGAGGAGTCTATCAGTCCCCTTGTCCTTTACTCTGTATCTAACCTCTGTGGTTTTGCAGATTATAGCTTGCTTATCATTGACTCAACAGGTTTGTCTTTCTTGAGTTTACCTCACTCAGGATAATTTTTTATCTAGTTCTACCCATTTACTTGGGAATTTTCATCATTTAATTTTTAAAAACAGCCAAGCAATATTCCATATTGTAAATGCACCACATTTTCTTTATCTGTTCATCTGTTGAGGGGCATCTAGGTTGTTTCCAATTTCTGGCTATTATGAACAGAGGAGCAATGAACATGGTTGAACAAATGTCTCTGGAAGGATGAATATTTTGGGCATATACCAAGAGTGGTATAGCTGTCTTGCAGTAGATCGATTCCCATCTTCCCAAGGAACTTGGCCACACTGGGTTTTATAGTGGCTGTACAAGTTTGCAGTCTCACCAGGAATGGACAAGTGTTTCTCCTACCTCATATCCTTGCTTACATGAGCTGTAATTTGTTTTATTGCTCTTAGCCATTGTGATGGGTGTAAGATGAAATCTAAATCAGAGAACAAAGCTGAGACATATAAATCAATGATGATATCATCTAGTATATGAGATGAGGGCATGCACTAAACAGTTATGGCAGCGTATGGATAAAGACGAGACTAGAGCAGTAGTTCTCAACCTATGGGTTTCAACCCCTTTTGGGGGTGAATGACCCTTTTACAGGAGTCACCTATTAGATACATTACACATCAGATATTTACATTACAGTTCATTACAATAGCAAAATTACAGTTATGAAATACAGGATGAAATATTTTTATGGTTTAGGTTTACCACAACATGAGGAACTGTGTTAAACTGTGTTAAAGTGTGTTAAAGGGTCACAGCTGGATCAGAGAGAGAGAGAGAGAGCGAGAGCGAGAGAGAGAGAGAGAGAGAGAGAGAGAGAACACTCAAGGGTAGATTGATGTAGTTTGATGGTGATTGGATTTGGAAAGTAGAGGACAGGAGAAGTCATCAGTAAATTACCAGTAAATATCAGTAAATATTACTACCAAGACTCTTGAGAGTCTTGGTAGTGTAATGCTCTGGACATGTTACCCTTTCCATGTGAGAGACTGCAAGCAACTGTGTGCTTGCACAGTTTCATGTCCACCTGCTAGGAGAGAATTCTGTAAATGGTCTGTAGCTTTCATGAGCTGGGAGTTGATACTCAAGTCACGATTGAAAATGCCTAGGTCAGTTCCGAAAAGTAAAATGTTAGTTATTTTCATTACAGAATATTTGTCTCAAGAATTATTAACAGAATGCTACAGATGCAGATTTTGTTTTCTGCAGTTAGATTTTCACTAAGGAAACTCAGAAATAACTTATGAAATATTTAGTATGTAAATTAATATTGTATTTTATTATTTTATTTAATTTGAGTGATTGCCTGCATATTTATCTTGTACCACATGCATGCCTGGTGTTGGAAGAGGTCAGAAGAGATCATCAGATTCCCTGGAACTGGAGTTACAGACTATTGTGAACATAGGTGCTGGGACTCATCCCAGGTCCTGTGGCAGAACCAGCACTGCTCTAAACTGTTGTGGGAGAGACATCTCTCCAGTCTCCCTTATATCTGCACTTTTAAAAAGATGTTTAAGGTCTGAAGAGATGGCTTAATAGTGAGAAGCACTTGTTCTTACAGAGGACCTGGGCTCTGTTCCCAGCACCTATATGATGGCTCACAACCATTTATAACTCCAGTTCCAGGGTATCTGATGAGGATATCAAGCATGCACATAGTGGACCCACATACATGAAGGCAAACAAATATAAAATAAGTAATTTAAAAATATTTTTATTCTATGTATATGAGTTTTTTTTTTCCATTTGTGTAAGTGTGCTACATGCCTTCCTGGTACCTATGGAGTTGAGGCTACAGACAGTTGTAAGCTACTATATATGGGTTACTGTGGAAACTAGATTGCTTAAGACTGCTTACATTATTTTTTTACTTTTCATTTTTCTAGTGTTAGGGATTGAATTCAGGACTTTGGCAGATGATTCACTACTTAACTATAGCCTCAGCCCTTGATTTTTTTTAACCCTGGATCTCCCCGTATAGCCTAGGCTACATCATGAGTAAGTGAAATAAGAGATGCCATTGATTCAGAAAAGGCAGCATGCATATGAAATAAACAATAGAACTGAAAGTTTGAATCTAGTCTTCTTGTCATAAGTGTTTTATAATTTCTTTTAAATGTTCTTTTCTTTTGTTCATTCTAACATAGTAGTTTGATTTTGTTGGTTTAAAATTTAAATTTAAAGTCAATGTAGATAGGCATATGCTCACACTTGGTGCTGAATTTTGTTGACTGATTATTAATGAAAATATTAAGTCATCCTTCTGTCAAGAATTTAGTCTAAGGCTAAGAATGTAGCTCAGTTGGTACAGTTTTTGCCTAGTATATGTGAAGTCCTAGCCCCGATGCTACATGCCTCTAATTCCACTACCTAGGAGATGGAGGACAGGAAGATCAGAAGTTCTAGGCCATTCTCAGTTACATAGGGAGCTTGAGGCCAGCCTGTGACTTATCACCCTGTCTAAACAAACAGAAATTGAAAAACTGTCAGGTAGAATCCACATCCAAAGTGTTTCATGCGCTTTTACTGTTTAGGCCAGTCAACATATAATGTCTTTAATTTCAGCCCAGTCATTTAGGCTCATGACAGTTTAATATGATATTCAGAATTAAAAAGTTAAAAAGGATTTCTTTATATGATCTCTAACACTAAGGTGTAAAAGTGAATATTAGAATTTCATTTATGTCATCTAGTAGGGATCACAAAATATTCAGTGTAACCAGTTAGTAAATGGCTCTGAGTGCCATATGCTCCTTTTTGCAACTGTTTGAAAGCAGCTGTAGACAATATGTAAGAGAGAGACTGGGGCGGGGGAGGGTAAGAGGGTGATGAAGGGAGAGTGGGGAGAGTGGCAGACTTTTATCCAAACCCCCCACAAAACCAGGAAGCAACTTAATTTTAGCACATTTGACTAATTTCCTACAGAGATTTTTGTAATTTTTAAAACTGAAAGCTAAGGTTAAAGTATGACAAAATATTATATATTCAAAATGGAAGTTTTCCTTCTCTGAATGTGTTAGTATATATAAGTGTGACAAAAAGATAACCATAGTATGAAGAGATAGGTAGCAAAATAGTGAAGTCAAGTTTTTAATAGCATTTTTATGACTACTTGAATTATTTTATTATACCAGAATATATATGGTGTTCCCTTATTAAAATTACTATTTTTAGTTTTGAAAGCAAATCTGCTGTTTGAAGTTTCACTAATTCTGATGTTTCCTTTTTTGTATTGTATAGGCTGACGATTTTATTATATTGAATTTATTTTTAAAATGTCAGTAGATAGGCAAATCAAATTTTGTTGTATAAATGTACAGAATTATGCGTTCATAAAAAGAGTCCTCTACTTTTGGTGTTATGTAGAGTTCACATTATAAGTGGTTAAATGCAGTGTCTTTTGGTGCCACAAAATTTTAGCCAACATCATTTACAGTTGTGGCTAATATGATATTTTGGACATTAAGTTTAAAATATGCTTATTATTCTCAGAGATCCGTCAGCGAACTGCAGCTCAAAGAAACCTTTCCCCAGCACCAGCAAGCTCTAATCAGGGCCCTCCTCCACAAGTTCCAGTATCTCCTGGGCCAGCAAAGGACGCTTCAGCTCCTGGGGGACCGCCAGAAAGGACTGTTGCTCCAGTCTTCCCCAGGCGCCTCGGATCCCCTGCTACTTCAGTTCCTGGAATGGGTAAACAGAGCACTTAATGTTATTTACAGTTTATATTGTTTTCTCTGGTTACCAATAAAATGGGCCATTTTCAGACAGTATGGAAATGGCATTTCATTTGGAAGTAGCAGAGCAGTTATCTGATTAAGCAGGAGTTCCATATTCAATTAGCTATAACTCTTTACAGCTGGCACCTTGTGATACCAAAACCTATTTCTTGAGCTCATTTAACTGTTATGGCTTCTTTGTTTAAATGGCAATAAAACTTTGTAGCATTCTGTAGTCTACAGTGTAGCATTATCTTTTTATATTCAATTCTTAGAATGGCTCCAGATTTATATATGGTAGGGATAGAGGGGAACACTTTAGAAAGTACTTATATTCTTTGCTAATTCCTCATATAGACAGTAAAATACGACAATTACCATACTTCAGGAAAAATATTCAGGCATTGTGGTGCCTGCCTGATATTATTTTTGTAAATAGGAGCTAGTAGATTCTTTTCCTTCTAAGTCATGAAACTGTAGTCTTCTCTAATACATTTCTTTAAGTTCTATTAGGAGTGTGATAGATCCGTAGATTTTATTCAGGGTTATAACATACTTTGTATTTTTTTTTTTTTAATGTGTGATTGGGGGTGGTGGTGGAAATCCACTCACTGCTTTAGCGGGTGACATTATTTCATGTATATTTCCATGTCAGATTATTAAATAAGAGTAAGCTATATTTATGGTATTTAATTCTAATTCAGGTACTTTAGTATTTCATGACTAATTACTATTATATAATTAGAGTTTATAATGATTTGAGACTAGATACTGCTTTAACCAGGTAGATAATTAAAGGATTATGTAAATTAAAAAAGCCTAGTGGTATGATTCTTGCTTGAGTTTCTTTAAAAACTCAACTGAGATTATAGAAGACTAGGAAACTATTGATTTTCAAATTAAAGGAACTGACTACAAATGAAATACATAAAAATTTTGCAGCATTTCAGATGATTTTAATAATACCTTAACATTTTATGTGTAATAATAAAAATACTCATATATTTTGTGAAATTGAGAAAGTTAAATGGATTAAAAATAATTAATTTAGCCGGGCGGTGGTGGCGCACGCCTTTAATCCCAGCACTTGGGAGGCAGAGGCAGGCGGATTTCTGAGTTCGAGGCCAGCCTGGTCTACAGAGTGAGTTCCAGGACAGCCAGGGCTACACAGAGAAACTCTGTCTCGAAAAACAAAACAAAACAAAAAACAAAAAACAAACAAAAAAATTAATTTGAGATACCCATAACTTGTAAATTAAAGTTTTGGTTGTTTAATATAAGAACTTTGGGTTAGAGTCTTTAACTCATACGCAACTTAACCACTTACATAGTTGTAAGGACTACATTATAGCATAGGGCTGTACAAGTACCTGTAGCTTAAATTTTATGTGTATATGAATAAAGCATGTTTTGTCCAAGTTTTTAATTAGCTTCTGTGGAAATACTATTTATATTGTACATTGCCAAAAAATGTGAAGGAGTTAAATAATTTATAATAGAGAAAATTAATAATTCATTTTTCTATTTTAACATATTTGTAAGAGAATCAATTTAATTTATATCATCACAGTATTTCCATATGCTTGAAAATTAATAACCAGCAGGTACTTGATAATTTGCCAAACTCAAATGCTCAATATTCCTACACTAATTGCTTTTAATGTTTATTTACTATTGCCCATATAGCATGAATATTAAGATGCACTATTTTTAAAGTTACCAGGTTAGTTAACCAAGTTATTACCAAGTTGCAGAAAGCTTAAGATACTTCAATAAAGTCTTTTATGTGCCCAGATTGCTTTCTGGACATGTTCACTTTATATATGTAAAAATGTAAATAATCCAGCAAGTTAGGTTGATAGAAATGCTTTTAAAATCTACCTGGGAATGTAGCTCAGTGGTAGAATGTTTGCTTAAGTGCTCTGTTAGCTGTACATATTTTTTATATATTTAATTTATTTACTTTTTATTTAGCTAAGTATTTTCTAATTTTTGTTTTGATTTGATTTGCATACTGAGTTATTTAGATGTAACTTAATCGTAAATGTTTGGTTGAGTTTTAAGCTGTTTTCTGTTGCTGATTCTAATTCTTCTATAGTCAGAAAATGTACTGTGCACTGTTTGGAACTGATTAAACGTATTGAGACCTGTTTTATGACCCATTATATCATGTCTTTGTAACTGCTTTCTGTCTGCTTGAATAAATGTGTATTTATTCTTCTTGGGCAGAGTAGGTCCGTTAGGTAAAGCTGGTAGTAGTGAGTGCTCAAGTCTTCTATTTTTTTTCTTAATTTTATGCAGATCAAATTACTGATAAAAAATGTTAAAACTGTCAGCTATAATTTTATATTTGTTTTTTTTTCTTAAATGTATTAAATTATCTTAAATTTTTGTTAGTTTTGTTGTGTGTGTTAGAAGCTTTGTTATGGTGCACTTAAGTGTTTGGTATGTTCTTTAATGAAAAACTATCACATTTATTCGTTTCTGTGTGGATGTGCATGTGTATGGAGGTTAGAGGACATCTTGGGGTTTTCGGTTCTCTCTACCATGTGGGTCCCAGAGATTGAATTTGGACCATCAAGCTTGATGATAAGCACCTCTATCCAGTGAGCCATCTTGCTGGTCTCTTGTTCTTGATAAGTTTATGCCTTTGTCATTGTGAACTTTATAGTCATTCAACGTTTCTTATACTTAGTGTTAGCATATTTATATATTTTCTATAATTTTTACTTAAAATTATTTATTTTCCCTGTTTTTATTAAAAAAGTTATACAGAGCATATAATGAACAGTTACTTTTTTATTCAGTCAGACAGACTGTTTCATCACAGGACTGTCTGGAATCTGATGCAGCGATTATGTGTGGGTTTGACTTTAATGTTCCATATAAAGTAAACTCATTTGTTCTATGCATGTGCTACCCTGTCCCTCATTTTTTCTCTATCCCTTTGAACTGAAATTTTTTTGTGACTACGTTTAACCTTTTTTTTTTTACTGCCATATTGTTGGTAACACTTTTTTTGGCATATGATTTTAGTGGTTGTAGTGAGCTTTAGTAAATATCTGTAATCATTGTTGTTCAAGTGATATGATGCTATTTCACATACAGTTTTAAAGATCTGACAATAATATACTTACATTTTTCCTCTCTTGGCCTTTGTGTTATTTATTTGGTGTTATTTTTTTTAAAGTTTATTGTACTTTCAAATATTATTGGGGATATTACTTTTATATTTTTCACTTTTTACAGTTAATATGCCTCTTTTCATTTCCTTCTTGCTTTTATTTTTACATTTTATTTCTATAAATATAAATCTCCCTATTATTTTTTCTTTAATCAGTTATACAGCCTCACTATGTAAATTTGACTGGCTTGTAACTTGTTATGTAAGGCAGAGTTAAACATGCTTCTGTCTCCCAAGCGCTGGGATCAAAGGTGTTCACCTCTAAGCTCTGCCTTCTATGTTTGTGAACCTAGCTCCCATGGAGGACAGAAGGAAGGCATTAGATCTTGTGACCCTGGAGTTACAGTTGGTTGTGAGCCTTCGTGTGGGACCTTGTAAACAGACCTAGTGCCTCTGCGGGCACCACCAAAGCTAACGGGGGCTAGCAGACATCAAGCTCCGCTGCAGCCCAGATCCTTTACAGTCTTCATCTTTGTCACTTTCTTTGGCCTCAAGGACTTTTAAAAATCATTCTCATAATGTAGTTTGACCAATGATAAATTTTTATGTTTTGAACATCTGGGAAAAGACCTCATTTTGCATTGCCTTCATTTTAAAAAGATATTTATGCTGGATATATATTCTAGTCCGACTGCTTTCATTTTCAGAATGTTAATGGTAAGTTTCGTCTCAGTTTGCATCTGGTGAACTCTGCTGGCATTCTCATTTCCTTTCCTCTATAATGTGCCCTTTGGCCTTCTTTTAAGCAGTTTGCTCATTTTGGGAGGGTGGGATGCAAAATTATATGTTTGGGATTTGTTAAGATTCTTTGACATGTGCTTTTAAAACTTTCTAAGTTGGAAAAATATGTATTTCTTAATTATGTATATATTTTTCTTTAGGGAACTATTTGTTTGACTATTTGATATTGTTCTTCAACTTACTAATCTCCTCTGCCCCCTTAATTTTTGGTCTTTTTCTATTTTATTTTATATGGTTTCTATTGCTATATCTTCAACTATACTAATATCTTTTGTTTTTTTAATTTTGTAATTATATTTATGTACAGAAAACTTAGTATACATTTAACCCTGGGTTAGTGGCGAGTTCTTCAGCCTTTGCCTTTTCCAGCTTGACAATGCGAGTCACAGATTAGGTCCCAGGACGTTGCCTTCCTAGTAGCAGCAGATCTCGTCATATCTGTCATTATAATTGCTCCTAATAGCTTCCACTAACTTAGCCAGACCACCCTTGTCTTCCGAGTTAACCTGTGTGAAGGCAACAGTGGTGCATGTCTTCCTGTGGACCAGGCGCCCCAGCCTGGCCTTTCCCTTGACGATGCAGTAAGGTAGCCCCATCTTTCGACACAGGGCAGGCAGGAAAACCACCAGCTCAGTGGGGTCTGCATCATAGGCAATCACCACCAGCTGAGCCTTCTTGTTCTCCACCAAGGTGGTGAGTGTATTGACTCCTGCTTGGAGGACAGGTGGTCTCTTAGTTGGGACGTCCCCTTTGCCAGCAGCTTTCTTCTCAGCACAGGCCAGTAGCCTTTGCTTCTTTTCTTGCTTTGTCTCTGGCCTGTACTTGTGGACAGGCTTAAGCAGCTGAGTAGCTGTTCGCCTGTCCAAGGCCTGGGTGAACTGGTTAATGGCAGGATGTACTTTGAGCCGCTTCTAGAGGATGGCTCTTTGCCGCTGCAGCCTGATGTATCCGGGCCAGTTGATGAAGTGTGTTAGATCTCTTTTGGGCTGGATGTCCTGCCCAATGCTGAGGTTCTTGGGCCTTTTCTCGAACAAAGAAATCTTTGTGGCCTCCTGTTTCTTGATGACAGCGGGGACCGGGCCCACCTTCTTCCCTCTTGGCCTTCTTTCCTTTGGACATCTTGCTTGGCTGGAAGAGACAGCCTAATATCTTTTTTTTTTTTTTTAATAATGTTAAAATGCTTGTTTCTTCCGTCTATTGGTTTTTTTTTTTTAAACCTTACATATTGTAGACTTCATGTTTGAAATTTAGTTTTGGTATTTTAGTTTTTTCTCCATGTCTTTACTCAACATACCTAGTCTTTCCACTAGATTCTCAAACATGCAAAGATAGATATAATAAGTATTTTAGTACTTTTGCCTGCCAGTTCAGTCATATCTGAAACAATTTTTATTTTTTCTTATTATATATTATTTTTTTGTTTGTTTACATGGCTAGTATTTTTTGAATGCCAGACATTGCAGATTTTACAGGTATGTTTCTTCCTCTTCCTCTTCTTTTGTCTTCCTCTTCCTCCTATTCCTCTTCCTCTTTTTCCTTCTCTTCCTCCTCCTCTTCTGTTCTTCTTCCTCTTCCTCTTTCTTCTCCTCCTCTCCTCTTCTTCCTCCTCCACATCCTCCTCCTCTTCCTCCTCTTCTTTTTCTTCTCTTACTCCTTCCTCCTCTTCTTCTTCACGCTTTTCTTTAACTCTTGGAAATATGCAGTCATTCTGTGAATACTGTTTCCTTTAATTTTTTTGAAAGAAAATTTTCTATTCTCAGATAGTTTCCTCAGATGTATGGGCTGGTTTATAATCTACTGAGTGTTTTGATAGTTCCTCTGATAATGTTTCTTCTTTTTCCCTTCATGTTGACCCTCTTCTTTTGCGCTGTCATGTGAATTTGAGCTGCATAGGTTTTCCCAGAGTTCCAGTGCTGGCTTCTCAACTCTGGGAGGCAGCTACAGTTCCTCTGGGATTAGCCTCTTACCTCTGCTTACAGATTATCTGTTTGAAAAGGCTGGGGGCAGCAATTGGGATGTAAAATGAATAATGTGAAGTTAGTACAGGAAAAAAGAGCAAAAACAAAACAAAAAAGAAAAGACTGGACAGTTGCAAGGGCTTGTCTAGGTTTTTTGTTTGTAAGTGAAATTTAACCTATATTGCTTGACACACATATTGTTAATTCTTCATACACTTAATATATTTCTCACAGTCTTTTGGGAAGATAAAGCTGATCTGTTACTCTGAGTCCTAAGTGGAAGTCTTCAAATTAGTATCCTAGGCTTTTAGGAGTAGGCTGTTTTAAAATTTAGTTAGTACAGAACCCTACATAGTTTCATATCCTAATGAATCATGTTGGTGGTCTTGATGTAGTACATATGTAGTATATTTTTATAGTATGGTAGTTTTAATGAATATTTAATGTTATAGGGAGATTTATAAGAGTATTTTGTTGCTTTGTTAAAATCTTTTAAATGTTCTAACATACTTAGACCACTTTGGAAGTTTAAATCTTGTGTATCTTATACATACAAATTTCATGTGTTTTTATTTATTTGCTAGGCCTTCATCCTCCAGGTCCACCTTTAGCAAGACCCATTCTCCCCAGAGAACGAGGTGCTCTGGATAGAATTGTTGAATATTTAGTTGGTGATGGTCCACAGAACAGGTAATGTTTGCTACTCTAGTAGTTAAAGGAACGTGAAAAAACATTGGCCAGTGCATGTGTGTGTATGTAATGTTTGGCTTGTATTTGTACTTTTTTGTTCCTGCTATCATATTAGAGAAATTGAATTATTAGTGGATTTTTATATGAATCACAGTTGTTGGTAGTGATGGAAATTCTTCCAATAGTAATGAAAACAATCTACATTATTTAGCTCTTAATATTTTTCAAATGTTTCTCAGATTATTATATTACTTGATCCTTAATACAATTCTAGGACAGTAGTTATGAGTGTGCAGAACATTTGCCAGTATGTAGACTTTCAAAACAATTCATGAGGACATGTTGGATAGCTGTACTAACTAAATGTTTATGTAAGTTGTATATTATTCAAAACAGAATAAATGATTGTATTAAGCCAAGAATCTCTTTGAGTTCTGATTAGAGAACAGAAAATGAGAACAATATTTAAGTGTTACTGATAAGTGAGAAATGCACAGGAACCATATCGTATAAAAATTTACTATTGGCCCCAATTATATAGAATTAAATGTATTTTCTACAAGATTCTTTAGGGCTTTTTTTTTAATTTTTAATTTTTTATAACATTTGTTATAAATCTCTAAGAAGGTTCTATCATTTCCAGTCTTATCTAATCACAAATTTGGAAGCCATTATCCCCAGGAATAAATCATTGAGAAAGCTGTTGCTGAACTTAAAAAAAAATAAAAGAATATTTTTTATTATGCGTATGTTAATCCAGGTGCACACTGGAGCCAGAGGCATGAATCCACTGGACCTGTAGTTGCAGGTGGTGTGAGGTGCTTGGTGTAGGTGCTGATAATCCATCTCAAGTCCTTGGAAGAAGAGCATATGCTATGAGCTTAACTGCTGAGCCATTTCTCAAGCCCTCAGCTACTAAACTTGTTTCTGTGAATTAGAATTAGGATATATTCAGCTGTTCCTTAGTTTATTTTTAATATCATGTATAAATGGTATACAGATGTCTATATGTATATATGCATACATATATACACATCTATTTTTGTATGTGTGTGTGTGTGCACGCATGCGTGTGTATGTATGTACTTAAATGCTTTATGCCCTGTGTTTAGTCTATTTTTATTTATTAGGAGCTGGGGAAAGAACTCAGGTTCTTGTATATGCTAAGCAAGCACCCTATCACAGAGCTATACTACCAACTCTTAAACTACCTTTCATACTGGTTGTTAATGATTTAGTAACATTCATTTATTATGGCACAGCTGAGTGGCCTCTCCAGTGAGCTTTATCTGTATTTGTAACTGGTGTCTTATTTTCCCTTGTGGTATAGGTATGCCCTCATATGTCAGCAGTGTTTTTCTCACAATGGCATGGCTTTGAAGGAAGAATTTGAATACATTGGTAAGGACTTATGGATAGTTAGGTTTAAATCTTTTACTCTGAATCATCATTCTCGCCCACTTCCATGTAATGTCACTTTATTTTAGGTACTGCTTGTACATATTGACCGTATATTGTCTCCTTATTTAATACTAAAAACAAAGCAGAAAAGATAAATCAAGTTTTTTCTTATAATGCACAGCCTCTAGGCCAGCTATTCTCAGATGTTCTACTATCTACGGGGAGTCTGAATTAATTATTGGGGGTGAGATCTAAGCATTAATGTTTACAGTTAAGATCATTAATTATTTTCACATTCAGCTGTTATTAAGTGCTCACATGATAAATTATGCTTCAGAAATTTAACATAATACATCTTCTTGAACAAGATTCTGGATTTTAAAATATATAATTATTTTATTGACTAGTAATGCAAGTCAATTACTTAAATAATTATTATTTATATAATTTTGCTATTATACTGCTACTTAACCGTTTATATCTTTTCTACTTTAAAATTAATACTTATATTCTCATAGTAATTATACAAAATGCTTTAAAATTAATGTTGATTTGAATACCTATTATATAATAAGGCAACAAATTCATGTCAAAAATTTATAATTTGAGTCTGGCTATTTATAAAAGTAATCTTGGAGCTTGTCTGATAAATTTTTGAAATTTGGTTGATTGGTTTTTTTTCTCTTAAAAAAAAAATTCTATGCAGCTTTTCGATGTGCCTACTGTTTTTTCTTGAATCCTGCAAGAAAAACGAGACCTCAAGCTCCACGGCTTCCAGAGTTTAATTTTGAGAAGAGGCAGGCAGTGGAAGGCTCAAGTTCAGCTGGTCCCATGTTACTAGAAAGTGTGCCCTCACCAGAAAGCCAGCTCATTGAAGGTATAATTATGTTAACTAAAGTGTTTGTTTTGGTAATGTGTTTAGCCTAATAATATAAGCACAGTATTTATTAAAGATGACAGTGAATTAATTTATCAGATTCTTAAGCATGCACATGTCAGCTATTGCTATGATGGCTTCTTCTGTGATTGCTATGATGTGTTTCAGTTTTCAAATGCAGATCATGTTATGATCAGTGTTTAGCACCCGTTGGTTAAGCATTGCAATTGGAATGAACTCTTGTAAAGTTTGAGACACTTGACTAGTGATGCTTTTCTGGAATCATTTTGATGTATCTAACTCAAGCATTTTGAAACAACTGTTGTAAGGACAAAATATTTAGAATATGTGTGGGTAGAATACGTGTGTGTCTACCACTCAAAGTGGAAGAAATGACCAGAAAGCAGGAAACTTAGGAGTTGGAAAGTCATCTTTGCATGTTTTGGAAAACTTGGTTAATAATACTGTTTCATTTGGACAGTTTATTACTAAAGGCCCATGAGCTTAACATTGCCTGTGATAAAGGAGTCCCTTTATTGTGTAGAAGTAAGATTTGTCAGAACTTGTATTTTAGAATTCATTTTGTAACTCTATCTTAGGAATTCTTAAGGAAGTTTCATGAAAAAAATGGAAAAGGTGAAGTAGAGAACTGCCAACTCTTTCTTATGACTAGTAGTCACTCAATGTTTTTTGTTACTCAGTTCTAAATTGTGAGGATGGCTAAAATTATGAAATAGTCCATAATATTTTGATTCTATGCCTAGTGTATAAAGACATACTGGAAATTGACAAATTTAGTAGCAATTATTACTTACATGTTTGATTTATTTTCATAAGAGCATCTAAATTGCGTTAGCTGGAATTTGAAACAATGAATATTTTAGATATCACAAGGTTAGTATGAGATTCAAGGTTTTTTTTTTTTTAACTTTGAAGAATGAACCTGAAGTAAGTGTGGAGTTGGGCTTGGCTTTTGGCTTACTAACAAGTATCAATGTGAACGTGAATCCAGACAGCTATGACTGAGCCTGTGTACTTCCAGCGCTGAGTGAATGAATGCATCTTCATCTGGAAGTCTGCAACATCAACTCCAAACACAGTGGCAACCTTTTTCTTTTGCTTAAGTCGTGCTCTGAGCTGCATGCTGACACATGCAAACCGTCTGCCTTGGCATTGCAGCCTCTTGGAACTGAGGATAAAGGATTTTATACTGAAGATGCCTAGAGGAAACACTGAAGTCTGTTCCATGAGTAACATTGCTTATGAAAGCTAAAGTTAATGCTTGAAAACCAATAGTATTTTTGGTTTGATTTTTTTTTTCAAAGAGGAAAAAAAGCCAACAAAATATAAATCTTGATAATGGGTCCTATTTTTTATTTCTTCTACTAAGGTCAAGATGGATAGTTAGCAAACAACATACAGCTATACCTTTCCTTCTCATCTAATCTAGGAGGAACAATACCTCAGATGTCTCATTTTCTATCTGAAATCTCCGGAATGAAGTCTAACTGGCTCAAAGTGAACCCCAGTAAGGTAATGTGAAGTAAGGTGAAGACCAAGCTTGAAGCAGGGTCTGACGACTCCATAGTACTAAAAGCTGAAGCAGTAATTCTGTTTCCTTAAGGACGTTTTTAAAGTAGTAATTTTTTCTTCTCTTTGGATTCATCAGAGTGGCTGGCCATCTTTTTTCTTTTTGGTTCTTCAGAAGACAGAAACTTTTCTCCAAGACTCTTATTGTTACGTTACAATACAGTTTCAGTCTAAAGCTGGATCCTGTAGCAAACGATCAGTAAAGTATTTCTGATGAACAAAGGGAGCTGCATTTATGTTAAGCACTGCATGGTGGTGCACCATGGAGTTAAATTGAGCTGTTAAGTAAGACAGTGCTTTCAGTCATCTGTTTTGTGCTAATAGCCAATGTAGCTGGGAGATTAAAGCTCTGATTTCTAAATTCATCAGTGTTGTAGAAAATTGAGAACTGGACGGACAATTTTGTTTTCATTTTGTGTCTTTAAACTGAAATAGCTTCTTGATAGCAGAAACTGTACAGATTATGTTATTGGATTTACAGATACTCTGAAAAGATAACTTCCTTCTGAAGTTTGCTTTCAACAGATACCTAGCAAGCATTTATATAAATGATCAAGAACTAAGACTTTTTTTTCTCCTCCTAGTCTATGGCACGTGTCTTTGCAGTTAAGTTTGTTATGGATTCTATAGTAGAAGAATTTGCATTTAAGATAAGGTTTTTAAAATTTCTGAATCATGCTTTAGAACAGCATATGGAATCTTGGCAAATTTTCAGCACAGACTTAGAAGAGATTACTGCTATTCCTTAAATTTTTTTTTAAAATTCTAGAATTGTATATCTAGATATTTAGATAACAAATAACAAAAACACAAGAAACTAGGGAAATTAATTGCTTTATTTCTAAAACTGTACTAGGTATGGTATACCAAAAGGATTTGCTTTTAAATTCTTTATTTTCTTTTATGATTAAATGATAATGTATAATACATAATACATAAAAATTAACTCTGCTAACTGACATTAAAGTGGTTGATTGGTGTTTTTCCTCTCTCTCAAAACTGGGGTCAAGATAACTCAGTGAGTAAGTTTGATAATCTGAGTTTGAATCCCTTGAGTTCACAGAACAGTGGAAAGAGAGGCTCCACAGTGTTGGCCTCTGGCTTTTACAGGCATGCTGTGGCATGTGCACCACCCCAACACTATTAATAATGATTATAAATAAAATGGTTTCCAAAATACTGTGCTATTCAAATGAGTAGCATTCTATTCATAGATATAATCAGAACAACGAGATCTACATTTTTGTATAAGTTCAGTGATTCTTTTTTTGCTACTATGTTTGAAAAACTATTGTTTCCATTTTTCAGTTAGTTGTATTTGTTTAGAGCTCATGTAATTGCTTAACTAAAATTAGCTTGTATTCATATGGTAATATGAAAATTAATGACTTCTATTCAATATTGGCAAAAAATTGTTAAGTAAGTTTTATATAATGTAAAATTTGTCTGGTTATCTAATACCTATTTTTTCTTATATGCAAAATACTGTTACTGTTAGGTTATATTGGATGAATAAGAATTCTGTTTTCAGTATTTCTCTTGTGCTTTAGAAAATTGTACTATTTGATAATGAAAATTTCGTTGGCTCCTGTGTGTATATCAGTCTCCTCCACCAGCTTCAACCTTTATTTATATTGAACTTTCTGAATAGTGTATTGTTATAGTTTGTTTTAGCTAGATATAATTTTATCTTTGGACTCATTTTTTAATCAATTTTGGATAATGGTTTAGTTTTAGGTCATTGATTGCTTTGCAATGAAACTTTTTTTTAAGTTTATTCTTCTCTCATATAATACATCACAACCATAGTCCCTCAGCACCTCACTTCTCCCCACACCCACTGCTCATCCCCCTCTGATTCCCGTTAGGAAAGATCAGGCCTCACACTGACAGTTATTGAACACAGCATAGCAAGTTGTAGTAAGACTAGGAATATACCCTCATATCAAGGCTGGATGAGGCAACCTGATAGGAGGAAAAAGGTCTCATGAAAAGGCAAAAGAGTCAGAGACACCCTCACTCTCATTGTTAGGAGTTCAACAAAACTCCCAAGCTAAACAACTACAGCATGTAAACACATGCAAGCTCTGAGATTACTGCTTTAGTCTGTGTGAACTCCTGTGAGCCCTGCTTAGTTAATTCTGTGGGCCATGTTCTCCAAGTATCCTCGACCCCTCTGGTTTTTACAGTCCTTCCTCCCCATCTTCTGTAAGGTTCTCCCAAGCCCTGCCTAATATTTGGCTGTGGGTTTCTGTATCTGTTCCCATCAGATGGTGGAGGAAGCCTCTCTGATGACGATTGGACTAGACACTGATTCTTTGAGTATAACAGAATATTGTGAGGAATCATTTCATTGACATTTATTGAAACTTTGTTTAATTGAATTGTTAATCATTGATTAATAGTTAAATAGTACTCTGTGTTTTGAATTTTAGTGTACACACACACACTATATTTAGAAACTGGTTATCATTTAGTGGAATTATTAACTGAGTCATTGTTATGAATTGAGATGGAATTCATGTCTTTGTTCCTTAAATATATTGACAAATCTTGTGAAAAATGCCATCTTCACAATTTATGAACTTAAAGACTGAAATTGTAATTTTTTAAAGAGCTAAGATAAAAATCTAAAGGTAAGGATCTTATATATTTTTGCATGTGTGTGTTTATAGATGAAGCAATAGTATTTATTATAGTTACATTCAGTTTTGAGTTTAAATTGTGTAGCTGAACTGAGGCTTAGTCTGAACATTCAGTTACCAATTGCTGTTATTTGGCAGAAAAACACTGCTCTCTTAGTAATACTGGATTGGAGGTTAGTGGATAGGAGTGGGGAATGAAACAGAGTGATGTATTGTTTTTGTTTTATCACATTATGATATGCCTTTTGTTGTTTGTTTTGTATTATAGAGGCTAAATTTAATTTGATTATTTTTTTCTTTCATATATAATTAGGTCATTCGGGTTACTATTTTGAGTTTTAGTCTTTTGGTGTCTTCTGGTCAAATACTAACATCTTTTAAAGTGCATTTTATATTTCCAAACTATTTTAAATTGCAGCATCATTTAAAACAAACAACAAATCCCCCAATTTTTTTTTTTTTTTTTTTTTTTGTTAGACAAGGCAAATGATGTTCCCATAGAAATAAGTATTTTGGTTACTTGGTACCTGGTTAATACATGATCTTGTTATAATTCTCTAATGTTTAGATGTGTACTTGTTACAGATTTGTTAATACTATGTACCTTATCGTTTAGAATTTGTTTGTATGGTTTCCTGTAAGCATTAAATTCCATCATTGTGTCATAGGCATGCCATATGTCAGGGTGTGTGTGTGTGTGTGTGTGTGTGTGTGTGTGTGTATGTGTGTGTGTTCTCATCAAGATTGTTTTTCTATAGATCAACCCAAGGGAAGACAAGTCCTTATAAATAAATAGACACATCAGTTATTTTCAAGCCCTAGTCATGGTTTCACCAAGTTTTTACTTTTCTTTATCTTTCCTGAAATACAAGTTTGACTAGAAACTGTCATACTTTCTAATAATTGAGATACACAGTATTTCTTCAAATTCATGTATTATAGATAGTTGAAGTTTCTAGTAATATGGTTCTATTTTTTTGTATTAGCTTTTTTATACAAACCTAGAATTTTAAAATTGTCTTTGACTTGGTAAAGTTTTGAAGTTAATAAAGTTTAATATAATAAACTTTGAACCTTGACCCCTTTATTGTATCATTCTCTTACAATTTGTGCCTCTGTTCCCTTAAACTTGGTATTTGTGAATTGTGTCCTATATTAGTAGGTTTTGTTTTTTTTTCCATTTTATATGACTTAATAGGTTGGTTTCAGAAGGCTTACTGAGCAAATTGCCTAGTTCTTGTCAAGTAAGTACTGCTTTATGGCTAGAAGAGTTGTGGAAAACCATGACTCTTAAAGTTCTGTGAATAAGTTCTGTGAGGCTTGTATTACAAGTGGTTGGCAGTCCCTAAGTTTCCTGCAGAAGACCTTGTTGGCTCTTATAGCAGAAATGGTTTGTATCTAGTCACAGTTCCATTTGTCCTTGCTGCTTTTCCTCTCTGCTCTGCTCATTTACTGAAACTTGAGTGACTTACAACTTTTTTCTTTGGGTTTTGGTTATGGTTTCAGGTAGTGCAGCAATGCCATTTAAGTTCTGTATTATAACAAGGTAGGATTCCTATACTCGTGTGTCACCGTATGATTTATGACCACTCCAGACTACTTTTTGTGATCAGCTATTTGGATTGTCATACAGTAAGACATCATTATGTGGCTGTCCCTAACTGAAATCTCCGGCTTTTATTCTGTAAAAGAAGAAAGTAGTTGTAACTGATCTGTAGACAGGAGTCCTGGATATCTGCTTAAGGAGAGAATACATCTAAAATATTTTACAAGTTCTGACTAGAGCAGTATTTGTGTTTATTAAACTAGTAGGCTAAAACCATGGATTTCTAATACTTCCATACTACTATCTGCATACTGTGCATAATTTCTTTGCAAAACTATTTACTTTGCGAAATTTTGACTATGTTACAAGGTGTTTAACTAGAATCTTTTCTTAAGCAGGCTGGCCTTCCTCCAGAATTTGTTTTGTTTGTATCAATAACATTTATAGTTTATCTATAAAGAACATTTATGAGGAAATTTTGCCCTTCTAAGCTCATGTGCTTTAATTATTTTTTTCTGCTAGCAAGAATATTAACTTACAATGAAAAAATACTTTAAAGCTAAGTTTTTATCTTTGACTTGAAAATTAGGAGAGTCAAAGCATCTCTGCTTTTATTATTCCTTTCTTCTGCCTCATTTTTTAAAATTTAAAGAATTAAAGAAATTTTAGTTAGTAATTTGTTATTAAATCATTAAGTGGTTTAAGTTAAAACTCAAAAATAGGATTTAAAGGGAGTAGATTTTCAGGTAGGGACTAAGAATACAACTTTCTGTTTATAGAGAGAAGGAAGAAAACCCTTTCTTTGTCTTAGCACACTAAAGTTTGCAGCATATTCCAATCCCTAAGTTTAAATAGTGAGAGCTTAGATAGGGACAAAGGGAGATAAGATATACAGACAGGAAATGTGGATCTTGACTTTTCATCCCTGAGTAGTAGAGATGTATATAAGATTGGGAGAGTACTGCCTACATACACATACATACATACATACATGCTACATACATGCATACATATATATTAATGCATATATGCATGTACACAAAGGTGTACATTTATGCATTGCTTACAGTTTTGTTTAGGTATAAGAAAAATGGTTTTCTGTTCAGTGTCCTGGTTGATTGTATGTTTGTTTTGTTTTCTAGACTCGTACTTGTTGCTCTAGTTAGGTTTCTCTATTGCTGTGATAGAACACCCAAACCATGGAAGGAAGGAAGGGTTTGGTCATCTTATAACTATGAGCTCTTTGGTCACAGTCCATCACTGAGGGAAGTTGGGTCAGGAACTCAAGGCAAGAGGTTGGGGGCAGGATCTGAAGCAGAGACCACAGAGGAGTGCTGCTTACTGGCTTGTTCCCCATGATTTGCTCAACTTGCTTTTTTTTATTTTTATTTTTATTTTTATTTTTGTTTTTATTTTTATACAACCAAAGTTCACTTGACCAAAGGTGGCACTGTCCACAGTGAGCTGGGACCTCACACATCAGTCAGTAATCAAGAAATGCCACAGGCACATAGGCCAATCTCATGGAGGTAGTTCTTCAGTTGGATTTTCTCTTCCTAGGTGACTCAAGTTTGTGTCAAGTTCTCACAAATCAATACACTTAAGAGCATTTCATTCTGTTGAGGTCTTGAGTGTTGGACATTGTACTTGTAGATGTATTTTTAGAAGCTTATCGTATATGAAATTAGCTTATTTTCTTCAGTTATTCAGTTATACTAATTCCTAAGTGATATGCTATAGAGTGAAGTACTTACCTTAGAAAATTTAAAAGGCATTAGACCATTCTGCCATTTCGTGGTACATTTGTATGTTGATCTTTGGCTTGTCTTACTTGGCAGTTTTGACATTTGGATATCCCTGAAGTCTTATGTCTTTTTCTCTTTTCAGACTCTTTAGAAGAACAAGATGTTCTTGATAATAGTACTGAGCAGAGAGATGACAAAATACCAGTTACAGAGCAGACAAGCCAAGTGATTGAAAAAACATCTGGTTCAGAGGAGCCAGAAGAGAACCAAGAAGAGACAGAGAGCGAGGAAACATCAACAAATGAAGCCAAGTCGCCTGTTCTCAGAGCTGATTCTGTTTCTAATCTTGAACCAAGTGAAGAATCTTTGGTGACAAAGTAGTAAATCCTTCCATGTGCCTTCAACTGGATATTTGTAGTCTTGTTGATGTCAGTTACTGCTTTTTTTTTTTTGTGGTACTCAAGAAAAAGTTGCCTTCTAGATATGTGCTTAATGTTATTTATATTCAGATTGCCCAGCAAGTTCAGTGTATCCAAGCCCTACCACTAGGTATTGGGAGTAAAAGCACGTGGTATCAGTTAATATGCAGAGACATAGCTGTTAGATACTTTGTGCATTCTAAAATTAAAAAAAAATTGTTTTCTACATGTATAACTTGTAAATAATACCCATTTTGACATAGGAACAAATTTGGCTAGGAATAATTTCTTCCATAGTGTTCAACAATTGAAACATAATTAAGATTTTGAATACTTCATCATTAAATTTTAACTTTGGAGATATTTGCCAGTGGGAAGGAAATATCTATTTAGGTGTTTACATTAAGTGATGCTGAAAGCTGTAACCTTAATTACATATGCATTGGTACGAATTCTCAATAAGAATGCAACTAAACAGTCAAGTGCAGTATTTCTTTTGATGTCTTTTATTTTACAACCGGGCCAAAGGCACATGATGTATATAGTTAGTTTATGTTTACATATTAATAGGAAATACATCTGCACTTGACTGTACTTGAATTCTTGGTATTATTTATATTTGTAATATAATGATGATATATAAATGTTTTTTTTTGTGTGTGTGTGTTTTGTTAAGGAAAATAAAGATGACCTAGCAGCATTTTTTCTTTGTTAAATATCTAGACTTCTTCACATAGTGTCTGATGGATGACTTGGCTATCTGAAAAAAAAATTTCACTGTATGATAAATATATGGCAAATTATGATGTTTTTCTTTTCATTTAGACTTTCAAAATCAGTGACATTCTAATCAGAAGTTAAATTGTTCTGATTTTGAAACATATTATGCCATAGGTAGTTTTTAACTTTGAGAGACAAATAAATGCATTTTTAAAGACAAGGCAGTTAAATTTAATGAAACTCACTAGGTTGAATATATTTACCAAGCATCAGGTGGGAAGATTTTTTGATGTAGACTAGTTATTTTTAAACACAATATGATAATTTGTTCTAGTTTTCTTTTATGTGTCTTTTATTGAAACAACTGAAGTGAATTTACATCACAGGGGAGACATGTTACGATAGTGTGTCTGGCCAATCTTTTGGCTATTGAATGTTTATTTAAACTAAATATGTTTATTACCATTTAAAAGTTTATGATTTAATACCTCATCTGACATATATAAAAGATTTGTTCATATTCCGAGGCATTTTAGTTTAGTGCCTGTAAATTCAAGCATGTGGAACTGGACTTGAATGTCAGCTTTGCAATCTTGGACATTTCACTTAACCTCTCTGCATTTATTTAATCTGTTAAGTGAAAAGAATAATACATTTTCCATAGGTACTGGGAAGTTAAAAATAATTTATATGATGTGCCTAGCTTTCTTGCTGGATAATTAATAGATACTAGATTTGGTAGAATTTATTACTGTTATTACTGCAACTGTTGTGAAATGTAGAAGGGCCATAGATTCTTTTTTCGGTAGACAATGAAATTAAAGAAAACTGAGCATTCAGTTCAGTTGCTCTGAACAGAAGTTTTCTGCATTAATGTCATATGCACGTGTCAGTGGTAAAGAAATGGAGAACTGAAACTAGAATATAATCTTTTTTAAAAGGATGTGTTTATTTTTATTTTATGAGTATAAATGTTTCACTTGCACAAATGTCTGTGTCCAACATGTCTTGACAGGTATCTATAGAGGCCAGATACCTGAGTCATTTGAAAAGATAGTTACAGATGACTGTGAGCTGCCACATCGGTGCTAGGGATCAAACTTGGGTGCAAGAGCAGGAAGAACCCTTAGCCACTAAGCCATTTCTCCAGCTTCATAGAACCTTTTTTGTTTGTAAATTTTACAAGATGTGTGTGTGTGCGTGTGTGTGTTAGTAGCACCTTGTTGAATCTTTTTAAAAACATCTGATGTGCACTGCTCAAAAATGAGTACCTCAGAAAAATGGGATTTGATGATGAAACCAAGAAAATATTATAAAAATATCCCCCCAAAACGGATATAAAGGGGAGCTAGAGAGGTGTCTCAGTGCTAAGAATGAGAATTGCTCTTACAGAATGCCAGTTTGCTTTTCAGCTCCCAGCTTGGGTGGCTCACTTGCTCCTGTAGCTCCAGGTCCAGCAGATCTTACGCCCTATACCTGGCCTCCTAGGACACTAGCCTATTGTGCACTCTCTTCCCCACAGATACACATAATTAAAAATCTAAATCTTAAAAGGAGCTTAATAAAATTAACACAACAGATAGGTAATTGTTGGTATATTTTAAAACAGAAAATCTTATTCTGATGATATAGTAGACAATGGCTGAAGTGAGTGAGACTCCACGTTTCTGATTATTAAGATAAGTGTAAATGAGGGAGAACTTCCCTGTTCACAAATACTCAGTGTGTTGTTGCCTCACGTCCCTCTCACTGTGTCCTCAGTGTGGCCTGCAGACAGGACTTAGCGTCTCTCTCTGTCTGCATACCCTTCTGTCTACCTATACCCTTCTCCTGTAGCTCTAGGACTCTGTCTCAGTGCTGTGCCTATGCTTTGCCCTTTCTGCCTTAAGGGTCAGCTTAATTTTTTTTAGAAATATTTTTTTTTAGAGAAGGGTCAGCTACCCTCCTCTTCTCCCTGTCTGAAGCTAACCCTGCCTTTTAGTCCTGTATCGGGTCACTTTGTCTTTGCTCTTAATTCTTTCTGCAGAGTATTTTTTTTCCCCATCAACTGTCTTTACAATTTGCTTTCCTTCTATCTATATGCAGAGAGCCTAGCAGTGCCACTCATTTATCATGTGAATAACGTGCCAAATCCAGGGACTACTCAGTATTTAGCTCATGCTCTTGCTTGGCAGATTGACTTGGCTGAGTGTTCTTTTACTTTGAGAAACCTTTATCCTTTAGGTTCTGGATGTGCACTGCCGTTATCTTCTCTGGCTTATTTTCAGCATCCTTTGACGACTTCTCTGCCATCTTTAAATGTAGATGCTCTCTGGCTTCCACCTATTGTCAGCTCTTAATCTGTGCATTCATTCTCTGGGAGCTCTCATCAAGCCCAGAGATTTAATAATTACTGTCTGTCTATGAATATCAGATCCCTAGCTTTGTCAGGAGCAGCCTGCCTTATACAGTGAAGGCCTAAAATCAGCAATAGGCCTAAGTCAGCCATACATGCTTGCTAACACAAAGTCTTGGTCTTTGTGGAAAAACACTGACCCTAAAGCAGATAAGCTATAAGATCTTGTAAACAGGCAACCTTGGTGGAAATTTACCAGCCTGGCTAAGAACTAGTAGTCATAGACCTTGTGGATAGGTAGCCTTGGTGGAAAGTACCAGCTTAGATAAGAAACAAGAGAATCACAGACAGAGTCACAGTGACCTGTTCCCTGCTTCACCCAGCTGATACTCTGTTCTGGAAGATATCTGTACTCCCCCTGAGAACACCTGCATCATCCCCTTCCCCACATCCTGCCTCTATGTGTATATAACCCCTGTGTGAAAAAGTTAAAATTATAGTTTGATCAGCCTATAGACAAGCCATGATTCTTTGCATTCGCCTGTTTCCCCCATGCTCTCTTTCAGGTGATCTCCCCGGACCCTGTTCACTGCCCTACTAGACAGGACATAGCTTGGTCTGTTTCTTTGGCTTCATAGCTTTCTATTTACCCACCTACTGGCATGGCATTGTGAAGTCAGTATTTAAAAAATATTTTTAAAAGAACACTTGTTCAAACTTACGTCATTTCACCAAAGAGCATCAGTATTCAATCCAGAATTTAAAATATGTTCCCTCTTTCCGTCTATCTTCAAAATGTTCATTCCCAACTTCTTCCCCACGTCCCCAGTAGAATATTGCAGTATAGCCCAGCTTGGTCTTGACTCTGTGACTCAGATTCCTGGGTGCTTGGAATCATTCCCATGAACTGCTATGCCTTGCTCTCCTGAACATTTTACATTTTTATTATTTGTCCATTTCATTTGAATTGTATTAATAATAAATCAGCATTGTTTCAGCAAACAACATGCTGCCTGCTGTAGATACGTGTGTTTTGTTTTTTGGGGAACAGTCCTGTGGAGATTTTATATCTTAAGTATGGGAAAGAAACAAGATGTAGGGAGAATAAGCAGCTTTCTTAGAGGTCTATGTTGGCAATGTGGAGAGTCTGAGATCTGAGTGTAAGCAGATCACATGATGACTCTCCTTTTAGTCTTTGGCATTGAACCCACAGCCTCGTACATGCTAAGCTCTGCTCTTCTGCTGAACTGTTTTTCAGCTCCCAAAGCCTTACTGTTTGTTAATCGTCATGGTATTGCTTTCTAATTCCTGCCTCTGTCACCTCAGGGCATGAAAGCCACCTTTTAAACTGGTTCCTCTATCTCCAGTCATGCTGCTTTGCTAGCCATTCTGTGCAGTGTGTCCTCAGACCTTTGTGGCTGTCTTCAGTCTTTTTATGTTTGAGAGGGTGTCTGAGTTACTGGATTGACTGACAAAGGCCGATGCAGCTGTCTTCCCAGTTGGCTCCCACATCTTTTTTTTTTTTTGTATTACAACTAGTCACTGCTTCCTCCCTCCACCGCACACATACTTGCAGTATACATAGGTTATTGTTTTCAATGCTGCATATATGCAGAGTTTCTCCTAGTTGCCTACATTTCTCAAGCTTGTCCTCCTGAAATACCTCCTGTTTATGTAGGTACTGAAGAAGCTCATATATAGCTGTTGGATTGCAGTAGCACCACTTGGAACCCAAGGTTGGAAACTTTATTATTTATTAAACTATGGGTTTTCACCATGTATTCATTGTGCATACCCGCCTTCACAGTAGAATCAAGTCTGTAGCTCTGTGTGTGTGTGTCTGTGTGTGTGTCTGTGTGTAAGAGGAGGAGAGGGAGGGGAGAGGAAGGGAGGTGAGTGGAGGGAGGAGAGATTGATTTTAATTATGTAATGATT